GAAGTTAGAGGGTGAGGCTTGCTTTCAGTCAGCTAGATTCTTGAGAGGTATTCACAGAGATACCTGTGTATACATACCCACACACATCCAGTGTCTTGACCTAGAAGGAGACCTACATGGAATACCATTATACACAAAGCTAGTTTGAATACTTTGCGTCTTTTGAGACCTCAACAGAGCTAAGTTACCACAAACAAGTATTTGATATTTGTACAGAGAGAAGACTCTAAATACTGGTGAGTCATTAGGTGTATTAGTTTATAGAGGCTATCACTGAGAAATAGCTCATTGCATAGGCACAGCTGACTAAATAAGGAAAACATTTGAGCATCTGGACTTACCTGTGCTGGTTTGCCCATTGCTTTTGATAACTGCTGGGTGAGCGCCTCCGTGAAAGACTCTGGAACCTTATCCTTACTTATGTTTGTGTTAACAATGAATTTAGGCATCTTTGGATTGTGAGAGGGTTTTCTTTCAGCTCACCTTATTCACAGCTTTGCTTCTAACTCACCTGGAAGATAGCTTATAGTAAGTGCCTCAGGAACCTTTAAATAGTCAGTGGTACCTTCCACAGGGGCAGCTGGAGGGGTGGGAGTGCCTCGAGAGAGGCGAGGTGGCGTGTGCCATCGGCAGGCTGGTAATGCAGATAGTCAAGGTACAGCTTTCCTTGGAGGGAAAGCTGGCTTTTTGCACTCTGGAAATCAAAACATCCAATATGACACTCCATATTTGGATACAGCCTGATTGTGAAAACCAGTGAAAAAGCAAGTGTTTCAGAGACTGAGAGTGGGAGAATGGTAATGTCCATCTTTATGCAAGTCTTATCATTATTTAAAAAATTTAGATGGGTGCCTGAATTGTGAGGTCTGGAAGTCTTTCTGTGGAATAGACCGTAACAGAAAAACCCCAGTAGCACATGTTGTGGAGACCTTTCCTGAACTGTGACTAAGTCATGACAAAGATGCCTTAAAATCAGGGTCTTGATTTTCCACTGTGGTGAGCACTGGATTCTACATAGCCAGAGGAGGCTTGTTTTCAACTTGCTCCTTTGTTGTGCAAATAGTCCCGTAACAGTCAACAGGATCTCCTGAGAGAACAGGAAATCCACAGGCTTTCTAAAATGAGTAGTTTTTATCCAGAGCGGAGTATGCGGCAGAACTGGGATCAGTTCTCTTTGCTGCCTAGTAGAGTCTTACATGAGGGAAGTGATTTAGAGGGGTCATATGTAGGGTGTGAGGGTGTCTTTTTTAGTGAGCTGTGTATGGGGAAAGGAGGTTGAAAATGCCGATGGGGATAAAATAAATGGTTTGTTAATCTCTCCACGTTAAAGGTGATGAGTGTCTTTACGCCTAGTAGTTTCTGTGAGTTAAGGACTTTTCTACTCACTCCATTCCCCAGCTTGCAGAAAAGAGGGAGAGCTTTCTATAGCTTGCACTAAATGTTTGTACTACAACAGTGTAATTTAAACAAATACTTTTAAATGGTGAAAGTCTCCATATGAACACACTTAAGTTGATTGTGTGTTGTATGTTGATTTTAAGTCAGTTCCTTCACTGTAGCACCCTTGCTGTAAAAAGCCAGCAAGTAAAAAGTCAGGAGATGGATTACTATGTGCCAGTGTTCATCTACAGCCTATGTTAGTGGATTGTGTCTCCTGTATCCAAAGCATTCTGAAAATAATTAAAATCTTGAAAAAAATCCAGAAATAAAATCTGTTTGTACAAACAGCCTTTTCAGGGCATGTTTCCTATGTCAAAGCATTAAAAAACAACTCAAGTGACAGCTCCATCTGTAAGGAGAGGAACTGCTGTTTGTAATAATGATGAATCTTTTCTTCAGTGATTAGTTGAAAGCAGGTGGCATGATGCGAAGCATTTAGTCAAAAATCATGCTATGCTTGTTAGTGATCACTTGGCAAAACTTAGACTGTATTTCCAATGAACTTCAGAACCTATTTTTTCTGCTGGGTACAATAATCACTCGTTATTTGCAGCTTGCTTACATAACAAGAAAAACATTTCCAAAGCAAGCTTTCTTCTCTGAAAACATCTGATGTAATTCCCAGAAGCTGATGTACCAGGTTGGAAATCAGATCCTTAGACACCACAGATGCTCTTGGGAGTGTGCTTTATTTTATAACAGCCATCTTCTTTTGCATACAATAATATCTCTGTTTGGCAGGTCCTTCTCCCTGCTTAGAGTTACTAGGATGTTCTCCACTGAGATTTCCATTACATCTCCAGAAGGATTGTTGCACAGTACAATTTGACTTTCAATATTTTTTTCTCTTATCGTGTCTGGAATCTTTTTTCCTAATTTACTGTGCTAAGTTTTGAATCTGTATCTGCTCAGGTCACCCTAAAGCACATATCTAGCTTTTCTTCTATTGGCCCGCTAGTCAAATATTTTAGACTTCTGTGTTTCCCTAGCCTCATGAGTGATGATGATTTAGTCGTCTTAATCCTTCCTTCCCTTGGTTTGTCATCTTAAATGATTTCACTTGGTCCTTCATCTTTCTGATTCTCTTCTCTGAGCTATTTGTCAGCAGTTTCCTGATTGCGAGGTGCTTAGAGCTAGTGAGGTCTCATTTAGGAAAGCCCAACAACAAACTGTTCAAGCTATCTGTGGTATTGGGCAGGACTCCTGGGAGCAAGGGAGACCAGCTGAGGCCCAGGGTTGTGGGCCCAGGGCTGTGAGCAGAGCCTGTGTGTATGTTCTTCTAGCAGGATTTTGTCCCTAAGGACTGTTAACAGAAAGTTTTAAAACTTCATAAGGTAGACTATCATAAAAGGGGTTTTTTTAATAGAAAAAAAATCTATTTATATCCAGTAGATCTTAAAACCGTGTGGTGAAATTTCCTGTGAAAATATTTAGATATCATCAAGAAATAAAACTCTAGCATAATGAATTTCTTATCTATATTTAAAAAAAAAAAAGAGTAAGACACAGAGGAGCTTGCAGTCTGTTTTTAATGTTTCCTTTTGAGTCCTGTTGCGATGCTGTTTCCTGTCTTTTCTAAGAGATGCAAATTTCTCCTCTGAACATTCAGAGTTTGGTGCAGAACAACTGTTCCTTAGGAAAGTTCTTTTCAGTGACTGAGATTTCTTTTTTCCCAAAGTTCAGCTTGTTGAAGTCTGCTTTTATTTCCATTATTGACTTTCCCTTGGTCTCAGGGAGATAGAGGTAGATGAAAATTGCTGATAAAGCAAGGATTCCCAAAAAGATGAGGAAGCAGAAGGGTCCAAGGTTATCCTGCAAGCAGAAATGGGAGACACTGTAAGGAAAATAGGAATCTAATTTCTATTTCCCTGCCCTTGAGTGCAAGTCTGTGTCTTAGTAATTAAAATTCAAAGGTGTGCTCAATACACAAACCAGCATGGGTATCAAACGAGGAGTTCCCACTGGCCATGTTTGACCTGACTCCAGTCGCTGCTCCCCTGACAGGCCTGGGGGATTCCTGAGCAGGTTTGGTATTTGGACAGAGCTCTAAGCTTTGCATGTGATTGCAATTTATTGCTATTATTTTGCTGCCTGTCAGCATTCAGAAGTGGATTAGCCTGGAGGGAGGGATCCAGTTAGAGTCACTTACAACAATCAGTGGAAAAATCATCCCAAGTACAAACAGTCCAATCCAGTTGATGCAGCCAACAATCAGAAAAGCTGATGGTCTGAATGACTGGCTGAAGATTTCAACCATGATAGATATAGTACATCCAGCTGAAAAAGAAAAGCAAAGCACAAACCAGGTATACTTGTTTCCTTGCTTCTGCCAAAGATTCTCACAATGGCAGTGGTAGAAAATGACAGACAGGCAGAATAGGTGGCCTGTTGGCAGGCGGCCTCTGCTATGAGGGTGAAAGACCTTGATTCCAGAAAGGGACTACAGCTGTTAATTTAGATTTCTCTCGTACATACTGGAATCCTTTTTCTGGTGCCCGTGGATCTGTCCAGTTCCATATTGCACTGGTAGCCATTATTAGTGCAGTAATTTATAAAACCAGCTCCCCTTTTCGCTCCTGTGCTCAGTTCCACCTGAAGCATGTTGGTAGGCATAAAGCTTAACTTGCTAAGTTAATGAAGATGATTACTGTAATATACATGGCAATGTCTAGAATCCTGTTTTTAGCTGAGTATTTTAAAAATTGTTCTGAAATTTCTGTCTCAAACCCTCTGGAGAAGATGATACTGTATTTTAAATTATTTAGATCTTGTGATCAGCAATAAAATTCGAGGTGTTTCTGTCCTTTTCCTGTCTCCCACTTGTACATATCTGCCCTTCCCTCCTTAATCTCCAGAACTTTTTACCATGGGACTAGTCTGTTCTTCCTCTGCCAGTTGTGTCGCCAATCAATATGACAGAAAATTTCCTCCCAGTGTTGCCATTGGTGTACTCACATGGTCCAATTCCGTAGAAGACAACGAATAGGAAGATCAAGATAACACTGAAGTAATGCATCCAGAAAAACTGATGCTACAAGTGAGAAACCAGTGATATCAAACCATTAGATACATGACAGAATAGCAGAGCTCTGTATTTTCTGCCACTGACTCAAGTTTTTGTGCATATCCTGTGAGGCAAGACCAGAGAGGTGGGCTGATGCTGAGTAAGTAGGCAGAAGGCTGCTGCCTCTTTACCTGCAGTGACAGAGTCATGGTAAGGAGCGCTAGCACAGAACACATCAGCGTGTATCCTCCCCATAGCAGCACCTTCCTCCCAAATCGGTCTATAAGGGTGCTCTGAAAAGCAGAAGACATAGGTCGTAAATCCTAGTTCTCAAATGAAATAATTCTTCCCCTCTCCGTGTGTTCTTTGCAGAAGACTTACCTGAATAATAGCCAGAAATCAATGTCATTTGAGAGTCTCTTAAGTCCTAATGAATTTGGTTAGCTTCATCAAAGTTATTCGTTATTAATTAAGCTGTGTTTATTAGTCAACCCTAGGCTTTTGTTAGACAGTTCCCTTTCTTGCGTGCTGGTATATATCACATTGTGCACACTTACATACACACATCTAATCCAGAACATCAGAAAATTATTTTATAGAGTAAAAATGAGTCTAAAGACATACAGTCGAGCAAATAATTTGGGAAAAGAGCTGCCTTTTGTCCTGTATGTAGCAGAAGATGTGTCTTAGGTTATGCAAGTCTTCCCCGAGCCCACTTATAAGTAAGGAAAAGTACAGTTGTTGACCACATTAATTTTTTCCTTCAAAGTCAAGTCTGAAAAGACTTACACACAGTATAGAGGATAAGCATTCACACAACCCAACTCCCAGGGACACGTATGGGATAAGGTATTCTTCAAACTTGGCTGTGTGGAATACTTCAAAAGAATAGAAGTATATCTGAAAAATGCAGAGAGGAAATGCACCTGTGAAAAAAGTGTTGCAATTGTGATGCTGGTATAATAGCATTGACTGAGAGGGGTTTGTAACGCTGCCTAGTGTTGT